TGCTGGCGGCGTCGTCGTCGTCGTCGTTGTTGTTGTTGGTGGTGGTGGTTTGCTGTGGTTGCAGTGCGCTCGCAGCAGCAGAGAGACCAGCAGCTTTGGTGGTAGTTGCAGTGTTGATAGTCAAGATGCGGAGGTAGCATTAGCTGCGGTCCTGCCCTGAGCTGGGAATCTGTCGGAATCGACGTCCTTCCTGGGGATGGGCGTTGACAGGATTGCGCAATCGTGGTGCAACAGATGCTTTCTGCAGTGTTGCTCCTTGGCCACAAAGTTGACCGTGATTTGTTCGTGGGATCTCGGTTGGTCATGTTGTGCCGTGTGGGTGCTAAAATCAGGCCGATGAGAAAATTAAGACGACCCCGCCGCCACTACCACTGCCCCCAGAACGACAAAAAGCACCACCAAACCACTTGCGTCGCTCGAGGCGAGTGACTCTATACTGAATCCTGCGTAAGTAAGCCGAAGCCTGTCTTTCGCCATTGGTTCAATCGAGCTGTTTCCTTTGGACCTCTGCGGGCCAACACAGATCATATGTCAACAGTTGCTGTGCCCAAAGGTTTTTTTGTTTGAGGTTGCACTGGGGAAGGACTGGCCAACGTTTCAGACGTGTCGCATCGCAAAGCCTCAAATGCTTTGGCCAGCGCCGAGGTATATGCATACAAGCGGTGTCTGCCACCGTGATCTCAAGCCCGAGAATTTCCTTTTCTTGACAAAAGGCCTGCCGGTAGGTCGAGAGTGCTTGCGTGTCCTTGAGCGCCTGACACATTAAGCATATGCCTGCTGGAGCCTAGGATGCGCTCCAGATGCATGTTGCAGATCTGTGATGGTTCTGATGCTTGCAGCAACTTCGACACTTGGGTGATCACCGTTTGGTATCGGTAGTCGCGTTTGCATTGGCTGGGCTGATTGGTATTCGTTTATATGCGCTCATCGGGATCATTGCTGTGACGATGCAAATGATGTTGTGGATGATGCTTGTAGTTTCTGTGACGGCATTGTCCTTACGCCCGCCGACATCCTGCACCTTCCACTTCACCCGAACCAGTGCCATGAGGTCACAATCATCTCTATGGACCCATCAACTTTTGTCCACTGTCAAGAACTCTGCTCCAACTACCATAGCACCACTCCAGAGACCGCGATTTCCTCGGTCGAGAACTGTTCTGGCAGGCCCAATCGACAAGAACGTCCTGAAGATCATCGATTTCGGTCTCTCCAAAGCTTTTGAAGACGGTGTTCACATGACCACAAAGGCTGCTGGGCCTTTTTGTGATCTGAATGCTTGGCCACCCCTCCTGCTCCGACAAGGGTTACTTTACAGGCTTCGAAACATCCCAAAGATCCGGCCTGAAGCTCTGCTTCCACACTAACTTCCGGGAGCAAGGGGTCGTAATTCAGGCCGTCACTGAGGTTTGCCCAACCCGGAGGCTCCCGACAATATCTCCGACCCTCCACCTGGATTACCACGAGTTTACAGTGCTACTGGTATGGTAAATGTTCAGTTGCTATGCTTCAATGTAGCCCAAAACCCTAAAATTGCTCCTCGGCACTGCCCCGGCCCGAAAAGTGGAAGCCGGGCAGGCCGGCACGCCGTACTATGTGGCACCACAAGTGCTGCAGGGCCGGTGCGCTGGGAGCAGGGCGTGGGGGGATGACTGCCGAGTGGTTTAAGGCTTGGGTGGGGCAGACCTTTCCCTCGGATGCTGAGGGGAAGATAAGCACGATTGACATATCACGTGTTGGGGACGGGTTGTCCGGTAAGAAGTGGTGACAGGACCTTCACAAAATGCGAAAGCCTGAAGTCAGGTACGACAAGTCCTGTGACATTTGGAGCTGCGGAGTCATCATGTACACAATGCAACTTGCTGTGCAATTGGATTTGGTCTGCGCATTTTGAATGTCCCTGTGTACTCGTACAGTGTCGTACAGCTCAGGTAGCGCCGGGCACATATCAGCAGTACGTGCAAGTGTGTTTGCAGGGCGTTGCCTTCTGCGAGGTGTGTTTAGTAGCCGATGCAATCGGTCATAATCGGAACTAGGAGGAACTACGAGTTGCAGTTTCGGTCTCAAAGTGTGTAAAAGTTTGCACGACGGTGTACAGCTTAACCGATGTGTTGACCTCCATCGCCGGGTTTGCGTGCTATGCATTAAAGCAAAACCCCCGCGGCACTTGATGGTGTTCGATTGTGTTGCGTCAGGATGCCCTCCAGCTTGAAATCCAAGGCTGTGCGGGTATCCGCCCTTCTACGGAAAGACCGACCAGGAGGTGCAGTGGGCATGAGGTTCCTCAAAGCCTCTAGAGTCCCCCGACCAATTGAGAAGAAATATTCGCCGGGAACTGTATGTACTCTCCGCATTCGCTGGCAAGGCCGAATACTGCGGCAGAGCGGATTGTGCGATGTTGGTCGACCCGAATCATAAATCCAAGATGAGGCCCTTCAGTCTTTCACTTAAGCAAATTTCCTCCTCCTGGGGAAGAATTTTTGTGTCCCCAACATGTTTTGTGTACTACTACTTGCATTTTTTGTGGCCTTCCTCAACCCGACATCCCTGGAGCCTCAGTGCTACTCAGCCGGGGCCAGGTCTTGAGCAAAGTGAGAAAAGGCCTCTACACTTTTGATTCGAAAGACTGGAAGTTCGTGTCGGAGGACTGGGAGAAGGTTTTAGTTCAGGGGCATTTTTGTTGGGGGGAGGGGTTCTCTTCAGCCGAGGATCAGGATGTCCTGAGAGTTCAGGATGGTATTTTTTCGGTCGAAGCTCGAGTCCGGTCAGTTTGTGTAATCTGCTTTGCGGCAAGATTCGAATCCCTAAGAAGCTTTGTCGTCTTGAGTGCTGGATTGTCTTGAGGCCGTGCCTGCTTGTGCGAGTGCGCGAGTCGAAACCCTAAAACCGCCAGCAGCTACAAGTCGTGGTTTGTGAAGTTTGCTTTGGGGTTTAGTAAGGGTTTAGGGATCCGTTCGAAGAGGCCTGGATGCAAAAGAGTTTAGGGATCAACTATCTTTGAGCCCAAATCGTCAGGACGCGAAGAAGCTTATCTCGCAGTTGATCAAGCTGGATCCGGAGCACAGATACACTTCCAAGCAGGTGCAGAGTGCGGATGGGCGGTTGCCAGCGGACCTTTAGTTTCTGAACTCTCTGTTAGCTTATCGAACCTGCCAGCTGTGCTGAGCTGAAAGCATGCAGAAATCCCCAGCCCACACCTAAGACATCGCGAGTACATGGTTCGCTTGGTACAGAACCTTCTGGAAACCGAGACCGCTGGTCACCAACTCCCAGACAGGCGCTTGACGACCCATGGATCGTGCAAAGAGCGCCGCGAGCCGCGGACGTGTCGCTGCACGGTGCTGTGGCAGCGTGTAATCATCAATGCACTCATGTAGAGTTCGCCAGAATTTCCGCAGCGCCTTTGCGCTTTCTCAGGGTTCTTCATTATAAGCAGGATCCCTGTGTTCCTTTAGCGTGGTTGCGCGCAAAATTTCGATGTTGCAAGTTTGTGGCTTCCTCGAGTTTCGTAAGATAGTTGTGGGAAGTGCATGTGCTCAGACGGGAGGCATGGCCGACTGTTTTGAAAGCTTCATCCGTCCGTTGTGAAGGGTGCTTCCAAGTCCTTACCTTGCTGCTTCACATGTGTTGAGGTATGAAACATAGAAACATGCAAAGGCGACAACCGTCAGAGTCAAGCCGCCTAGTCAATAAGCTCCACTGGGACATGAACTGGTTGGGAGCTTCGAATTGCCTTGATCATGGGATACTGGGCTGCAGAAAAGATGACCCAGTATGTAGGTAGGCAAATGGAGCCCTAGGAACTCGGAAGGGTTTGGGGACTGCGATATTCAAGAATGTTACATGTTCCTGCTTTGGGGCAGTCGGACAGCCTGGGTTTGACGGGCAGGTCGTCCATAGTGGTTTGAATGGACCTGAGGGTCGTTCTGGTTGGCACTCTCTCTCCCTCTCTCGATCTATCCTGCTCTGCATCCGAGGCCTTTGTCTCGTCCGTCCATGCATGTGAAACAGTGTAGCTACTTCGTGACTGCAAGTTACATATTACTCATTAAGTCTTATTGAACCTCTTCACTGGCTTGTGCACACAAGCCCATCCATGCTACGTGCACCTGTGCACGGCTGAAACATGTACGTATAACATGCACCCGGATTGCCTACAGCTACATAGCTTGTTAAACATGATCTCAGCGTTTCTTGGAGTCTAAGAAAGAGAGCAGGAAGCAAAGTGAATTCGACTCGAGACTGCTGAGGCGACCAGCTGTCAAACCTCCGCTCCTTCAGGCAGACTCATTGCAGTGATGGCTGTTCATCGTATTGCAAGATCTAGCTTTGTTTATTGCTGCTCATTCTTGCTGCGGCTGCGCTGCTGCTGCTGCTGCTGCTGCTGCTACGGCTGCTACTTCCGCTCCTCCTCCTCATCCTCCTCGTCCCCCTCCTCTTATGACCCACTACGACAACCTGCCCCCGCCATGCGTTCTGTAATGCTTGTTGTCGCTGCCCTTTGTTTGATGAGATGGTTGCAGACTGCACTTTGAGCTTCTGAACCGCTGCTCGATACGATGGCCTTGTGGCTGAGAATCGAGGCCCGTTGTGAGGCACCGCTTTTTGTGCTCTGATGGAAATCCCAAAGAGCATCCGAGACCTTAGGAACAGCCTCTTCTGAAACTTTGTCCACGGCAAGAACAGGAACCTCACTCTTCTAACATGAGCTGACCGAAGCCTCCCAATCACCCAAACATGCGCATGGAAGGTCGCAGAACCGACTCAAGAAGGCTGCCCTGAATATCATCGCAGGCCTGCGCCTGTAAAGTTGGAGGTTCTTTATGGTTGTGTTCCCATTGTTAGTGGTTGATTTGAAAGGGTTCGGGAGTCTGAAGTGAAAGGTCGCGAAACGGGGCATGTTTGCCCCGAGACGCTTCTTTCCCAAACCAGGCCCTAGAATGTATGCGCGCAATACCTCTTTGTGAACATCCCTGAAGCGACCCTTCTCTTTCCAGAGAAACTCCATACAAAATCAAAATTCAAGATAACAGTATGTGTGTATAGTTATATACGCACGTCGTTCGGTTCAGTGCGTTTCTTCGCCAGCCATGATAGTCAGTGTGTGTGTGTGTGTCGTCTCTTCTTGCATAGCTTTTTTGTTTGGGTGGTCGTTCGCATTGTTCTACAAGCTTCCGGGTGCAGGATCTGAAGTCGGACTTTGGCACGTGAGCATAGAGGGTTCAAGAGTGCCAGGGCTTCTGCCGCATGAGGTTTGATTGTAAAGATTGAAGTCAAATTGAGCGACCACTGCAAGGGACAAAAGGACAAGCCAAGAAGGTCCGAAGGCTTCAGTAACTCAGTAGGAGTCACCCCATTCCTTGTCCCCCAGGTGTCTACAGGATCAGCGTAACTTCGAAGTTCGTTTCAAGGTAGCAGTGACGGAGCCCGGGTAAGTGCTTGTTGTGCAGTGTATGACCAGTGTATTTTCTGTGCACTTGTGTGAACTAGCAACCACATGTCGCAGTGCACCAAAGGTATTATAGATATTTTACAATTATAGTGGAGAAGCCTGCTGCAAGGGGTATGGGGGCGAAGTGTAGCGGAGGTTGTAATATACACTCAGTTATAAATGATATCCCTAAGGATATATTCATAATATGGTATAACATAGCTGTAACATACTGTACTTTATCTATCATATGGCGAGAATACATATTGTCAAAAAACGAAAAAGATATATGATTTCATTGGCGAGACATGGTTGGATTTGTCGTCGTGATACCAACCGGCCGGTAGGGATGCTGCCCTGCGATACACCTAGTTACTCAGTTGTGCCAATCCTGTGGTTGGTAGGCTTTACCGAATCTGACATGTTCCTTGGATCTCAACTCTTCATTTATATACTCTAATATACTCTACTATAATACAATATAATATAGTAATATGATACACTATAATATACTAGACTATAAGACAATATAATGTTTCATGGAGAACTTAATTTTTCCCTCTGTACCAGCAGGCCGACTCCTGAACCTCTGCATCCCAAGCTTTCGGCCAGGGCAGATGAACGAAGCACAGATTGCGGACTTGAGGCGCTTGGGGGTTGCCGGGAAGGCGGCAGTTTTCCTGGAGACTTTCGTTTTCTAGGGATGTGTTCGTTTTCTTCCCTTGCTTCAGCCCCAATGCGGAGAATGTTGCCCGGAGGTACCTAATTTGAAGACCCAACATGGTAGCGACCCACCAAAGTCGATCCTCAACAAGAAGCGTTTTACAGCAATGCAGCTGCAGCAGGGCAAGTGACGAAAAGCTTTCACATCCACCTAGCTACACCCCACGAATTGGCGGAGCGAACGGCCCCTCCCACCGCCCCGCCGCCTTCCGAGAAAGTCTACCAACTGCCGAGGGATGTCTTCAAAGCCTTGGACAAGAATGGCGATGGCTTCCTGACGCTGGAGGAGCCAGTGGTGACAGGTGCTGTGCAGCCTTGCATCTCGACCTTGTCAACCTGAGTGTCTAGCCCTCATGGGAGCTGCTGCAACGCCCCAGGAGCTTCAGGACGGCATCACCAAAGCAGACATCAAGCACAAGGACTTTCCGACACCCTAATTCGACCCCTCGTAGCCATCTGCAATGGGTGTAGCAGCAGTGCTCATACCGGTACTAGTATGAGTACTGTACTTTCAGTAGTACAAGTACTAGTACTAGTTCTAGTACCTCTGCTAGTGCTAGTGCTAAGTAGTACAAGTACGTTATTAGTTACTTCTCGATTGGTCTAATGGTGTTTCCTTGACATTGCTTCGTTCTCCCATGGCTCGAGAGAGCACGTACAAAGCCCCACACTGCTGACAACCCTTTGGCTCCACACCCCCCGCACGACTCCGACCCCATGTTCCTAGGTCCCATTTCTAGGATACCTTGTCAGGGATCCGGTTATCGACGGTATATGATCGTTTGGGATGTCTACCTGAGTGAATAGATGTTGCGATTGCTATTGCATTATCCTCAAAAGTAGGAGAGGCGACATGGTTAGAGGGCTGAGTTGCTGTTGTGCTTGCGGCGGTGGGGATCCTGCCACTTAATTTTTCGCAAGGCCCCGGCATTTGCACTTGAAAGCTGCAGAGGCACGAAGTTGAGACTTCTTCGTTGCTGCAGTTGCTTTGGAAATGCCACGCAACGCAACATCTTCGGATCTTCATCTGCCCGTGACTGCAGCGCACACTCCCGCGAGGACATCGACCTAGCGGCAATCATGGAAGGCACGGACAGAGAGTCCAACATCCTCAATCCGGGACCCCAAAAATCTTGATGAATTTCTGCAGGATCCTACTGAGTCGAATACTTATATCGAGCTTGAGGGGGGTTCTTGGTGTCAACGATGCAACAACAGGCGTGGATGCTGACGGCAGTGGGCAGATTGACTACACTGCAACATGGCTTCAACCCCTTCTCTTTGAAATACCGACAGCTTTGCACTTGAAGGTGACAAAAACAGATATGCAGCCAGCATAATCGGAACACTGGACTAGACATTGAAGTGGCCAAGGAGTTCTTGGCCGCGACGCTGGACAAGAGACTGTATCTCCAGCGGGATGCTTGCTGGGCAGCCTTTAGTGACTCCTGGCTTTCATATGACATCGGGCTGTTCTCTGGAATCCTTGGGCAGAGGGTTCTCCAGTTCTCCACATCAGCATGTTGTTTCCAGGAAAGGTCCAGCGCAGCACGCGTGCTCCAGTGTGTAGCCCAATCCGTCCCGAGAGATTTTCGACACAGCCTTGTGTGGACTAGTCGCTATGGTGGCATCTATCGTGCATCTGCTTTTTTGCAGCTACAGCTGCGAGGGAGGGCAAAGGCTTAACAGACAGCATTGCAGCCTCTTTGATGACGCTCGGCCACCCCCCCCTCTACTTTGTCTGCGACTTGGCTATCCGTACATAAGTTACATAAGCGACTGAAGTCCACAAGCTTAACTTTAGCTTGTGCGAGGCAAGAACAGCATGAACCCCAAGGTCCTAGAAGCTCAAGTGCTTCAGGTGTTTGACCAGGATGGCAATGGCCTCATCACAGTCGATGAGCTCAAGCAAATTTTGGAGGAGGGCAGCATGGAGGAAGTGCTGCTTGGACCGAAAAGAAGCAGGATGGAGCTCCTTTGTTTTAGGGATGCCCAGGGCCCAGAGCCAGGTCAATTTTGTTTGGGGCTTAGTATGGCCTTAGTGTTCGGGTCTTGGAGATTTGGGGGGGGGTGCCCTAGAACAGGGTCCGTTTGGTTTCTTGGATGAGTGGCAGTGGCACGGCTCAAACGCGGTGGAAGTTAGACCAAATAGTCCTTAGACGCGGAACAAGCTTCTGTGCACAAAACACGGCACTCGACACTTCGTGGTGGGGCATTTGAAAGGCCGCTTAGTGACTGTGCTTTCTACAATGCCGAAATGCACGGCAGTCACGTTTCCAACTCGCCGAAATTGTCACAACGCCTGGGACCCTGGAAAGCCAATCAATGTCGTCTGTAGACTCTGAGTCGCACCTTGGGAAGAGGAAGATCGCGAGCGGAAACAGACCCCAAGACATCCTAAGCCGAGCTGCTGCCCGGATCTATACTCTGAAGATGAAGGCCACGGCAGAACATCACCTGTCTCCTGCACAACCGGAGCCACAAAGGCGTCCTTGCGAAGTAGGAGGGAAAAACACTAGTGAAAGGTTCCATCCTAGCCAGGCAGCAGGCAACAAAAGCTGGTGAAATGATTTGGTGAGACTGAGGAAACCTGAGCTGAGGAAACCTGAGCTATGTACAGATCCTGAACTCCCAAACCCTATATGATATGCCTGCCTTGTGCGAGCGTGCGAGTCGAAACCCTGCACTAAACCCTACTAACCCTACTAACTAGCTATGTTGGAGGGAAAAAACCCTACCAACCGAAACCCTAAACCCTAAACCCTATTTAGGCTTATCCTGGCCAAGGCTTGACGGCCGAACCTCCGAGGCCCATCCAGGGATGGTTTAGGCCTAGTGAAAGTCTGGCTTTAAGGTTCCTCAGAGTTTTAGGGCAGTCGCGGCTCAGGGTTTAGTTAGGGTTTAGGTTTTAGGGGGCGAGCTCAGTTCAAGCCTGTGGAAAAAGGTTTTAGGGGGTCTTCAGAGAGACCTCTTTCAACAAAGGTTTTAGGGAGGCTGGGCGAGCTCCAATCAAGCTTGAAAAAGGGTGACGGAATGGAGTTGCAGCCGATTTAGAGGTGATTCGAGATTTGATGCTCGCGGAGCCTTATAACGTTTGGGCCGGAGTTTGAGGCTACTGAACATAATTATATACAGAGTATAATCGAACATTTTATTTTGTTATTTATTATAGCTATACATTGCTATATTATGTTTGTATTATAGTTATATCGTTTTGAGCTCCCGCCTCGAGGAGTCTTAAAGTCAGTTTCGGGCTTTCCCCCCCAAAATCCAAGAGAAAAGGTTGAGCCGCTCGGATCCGAACGGCCCTACGGGGTGTAGGTAGTATACGGGCCTAAATCATGATAAATGTATTCTGGGGGGTTCCTCGTTTCAAATATAGTAGAAGATCCCCCAAAACCCTGTTCTAATTATTAAGGCCCTTACATTAGCTGGCAAGCCTGGACGAACACTGGCAATACGAACACTAGTGACTCTAATCCCCCGAACTATTGTCGAGGGCTCCGTCGTTGTCCTGCTAAAGAATACCTGGGGCATGTTTGCAAAAGAGAGAGTGCTGCGCCTGGCTGGGCCATGGGTCAGATTCAGCAGACATGCGTCTCGGCGAGGAGCTGCTGCAAGAAATCGATAAGAATGGCGATGGATCAATCGATTTTGAGGAGTTCATGGATATGATGGAGCGGCCTGTCTGCAAACTCATCAAAGTAAAGGACATGAACTTAGGGGTCCAACGTGTACGGGACCCACCGATCTCTTATGTATAGATGTGATGCATGGCTTAGACCGAGAAATGTGCAGGGCCGTCGCTTTGGATGGGAGATCCTTCCTTTTGAAGCATTGCTACATGGTGTGATGCCACAGGAAAGGCCGCTCGCAGTCCATGGAGCTGAACACCCCGAAGGCCTGGAGATCTGCGTGCAGCATACTCATCAGTCGGCTTTTGGCCTCAGCACAGTTACAGCGTCATGCTCTTGCGCTGTGAGCCGAGTTTATACGGAAGAGTATGCTGTACCTGCTTAGCAACCGGCGTTCATGGATGCTGTTCGGTTTTGCAGCGGCCAGTTTGCCCAGCTGGTCCTTCTCAGCCTCGTACGTAAGTCGTCTTGCTACATGGCACGCGGCATGGCCGGATGCTGCTCGGATCGCTAGAGTAGAAATCCCGTTAAGAATAAACCGAAAACCGACCAATATAGAGGCATCCCAAACACCGCGAACTCCGCTTCGGTCGAGATCCAGGACACTACTTTGCATCGGGTACCTTTGAGAGGTAATGTTTAGGGTGTTGCCGGTTTTGCATTGGCTGCCGCTTCCGTGGTTCGTTTCGAATCGAAAGAACTGAAGGAGTCACATAAAGCAGGGTTTGGACAAAGCATGACAAAGTACTATCGTACTACCGTACAGCTACATGTTGGGGACCATATAGGCATTATTGGAAGCTTTTGGAACTTTGTGGTCCTAAACCCGAAACTTCCCTAAACCCCTAAACCCTAAACCCTTTTGTGTGGAGCCTTGCCTGCCTGGTGCGAGTGTGAGAGTCGAAACCCTTTTGAACTTTGACCTGGTCCTAAACCCGAAACTTCCCTAAACCCCACTCGGCCCGGTGGTTGAGGTTGCTCCACGAATATACGATAGCATTTTATTACGTTATGCCTTAATAAATGATAACATGTCTGCTTTTTTGCTCACCAAAAGCAAATTCTATAATACTAATGTAAGTATAATGTAATACCATATGAGCCATATGCTATAGTATACTAGAATATAACGCAATATAAGAAGTAGAGAACAGAATATGAAATAGAGCGATTCAAGCTGTGCTTGTTTCAGTCGTAGTGTATCCAGGAATTTCGACGAATGCTCTCCTAAGCGGGTCGCTGACCATGGTGCTTCTGCCGCAGATCTGCGATCCTACCCTTTTTGTGCGGCTGCATGGAACGATGTATCAAGTTTGGAGGAGACTTTCGGATCTGTATTTCCTAAATTTCACGTGAAGCCCTGACGAAACAGGATATCGGGGAGCTTCACGTGTTCGTCCGTGCTGAGAGATGCAAACCCACTTTAAAGGAAACCATTCCAGCATGACTAAAGAAGTGCGTTGCAACACCCCCGACTCCCGACCTCGACTTATCAAAAAAAACTGGAGGATCTTTTCTCACATGATTGTTTGCAGAAGTTGTTCCTTTTGAACCTTAGAGTCATAGAGGCTCTTACTTGTGCTGCTTGACTGGCGCAGATAGTGAGATTAGGATCTGACTGTTGGAGGGAGTTGGAGCCGACCCAGAGATGCCCCAAGGTGGTGGATGATCGCAGCTTTTGCGCACAGCTTGTTCACACGACTGGCTTTAAGCCCGCTTCTCAGGTCATGGTCCGGCTTTTGAACTTAGGGTTTCCGGAAAAGGGCTGAGGGATTCGTGTTTGGGTTGCTGATGGCTGCTGATGATGACCAGCACCAACCAACATCATCGTTTGAATCACAATTCTGGGGCCATCGGGTTGGCGACAACGATCAAGACTACGTAGTGGTCTTGATTGATCACGGCGAAGGGTGACGCTCATGATGACAGGGGTAGTTATGATGTTTTGTATCGTGAAGATAATCGTGGTCAAGATGACTATTTTTCACGAAGATGCTGATGATCGTGTTTCTGTTGTGTTTTTACGCACTGGTAGATCAGGTAGAGTACTGGGTGCTGCAGCCAGAAGGCCAGCTAGCAAGCAAGAAGATGATTAGTCTTTTTCTGGCAGTAACACTCCAGGCAGTTCTTGATCGCCCAAGACACTAGCAAAGCAAAGTTGTGTCCAAGGCGGCTTCCAACCGCACGAGCCCACGCTGCTGCACCGAAGTGCCGAATAGTCTCAGCTTATGCAGCATCAAGTTAAGCTCCACTGGGACAAACAAGGCCTTTGCTGAAAACAGCTTTACGCTTGGCCCAATTATCCGGAACTTATTCTGCTTGTTTCTGGAAGTGCCTAGCTGTGCCTGAGCTGTCAACTTAAATCCCGCATAAACAGTAGTCCAGGGTTTTCGGCAGGAGTTGGCATTGCAAGGCCGAAGTCGCCGAGGGGTACATTCTAATACTATTCCAAGCATGTTTGCTGGTGTAGCTAGTTACCAGCACTTGGATACTGCCCCCGGTCAGTAGCAGTTATATAAGGCCCTTGATAGTGCGCCCTTATTCAACGACTGCTACTGTATGGGGGGGGGGCAGTAGCAAACCCTACCCCCTAACCCTAAACCCCGAGTGTCACCCAGCCAACTCAAGACCACATGCCTCGCCTCGACTGTCCCAGTGTCAGCACCCGAGACCTTGAACCGTAAACCAACTACTCTCAAACTTAACCCTGCAATGCGGGCTCGTCCTGGCTAGGTGGGAGGCAACAAACCAACTAGCAAGGGCCCAAACATTGCGGCATTTCGCTGCTTTCTCTGTGGTAAAACGCAGTGAAACTCGAGACTCAGGTCGGCAAAAAGACAATAATTAGACAACGTATGACAACTTGATATACAAAAAATATAGCAGACGACTTGAACTACAATAACATAGTATACAACATGGTATGGCATGTTATGATAAGCTTTATAAGTTAGTATACGTTGACATGGAATCGTATAGTACCCTATGATATAGAAATCCTCAGTATGTGTCCAATCTATACGTTTTTGAATAGTATAAACTCACCATAGTACAGTAGACTATGGTAAAATAAAACAACATGGTGAAATATATAATGCAACTTAAGACCAATACCAATACGCTATAGTAGAGATTTAACTATATAATACAAAAGATATTTTATGATTGCGTTGATCATATGCGTACGTGTATACACATTAACACATAGTAAAATTATACGGCACATCATACTATAACATAATATGGCATACCTTTAAAATAAGTAAGGTAGTGAAATATCACGCAATGCAGTTTAATATAATATCACATACTTCGCCATAGTATAAACAGCTATTCAGATACGTCACAACTGCAGTATAATATAATACAGCCCATACAGCTTGATGTACTTCAACATGACTGAATATGACTTGCTGTGTTTTATGGCAATGGGCTATGATGTGAAAGTGGAGGATATGATGAAGCGGAATATGCCGGAATATGCTACAGTATGGTATGACGTACCATAACACAGTAAGTACACTGCAAGATAGAAATGATACGCTGAAGGAAAAACCTCATACTAGAGTAGAGTAGAGGAGAATAGACTATCTAATATAATGGAAATATAACATAGAAAGATAGAGAGGACTATAATGTGATGTGAGCGTAGGATATGGTAGTATGCAATATGATACGGTATGACATGAAATGACACTACATGATTTGGGCTGGTAGAAGAGAATAGGAGAGGACAGAACATGAACTGACATGTTTTGATATCATAAAACATGACACACCATGATGTAGCATGGTGTTATATGTTATAATATGACCTCGTATAATGTGATACGTTTGGGAAGACGGGAATGAACAGCTTTTAATATAAGACAAAAATAAAATGGTTTTGTATGTAATATATTATGTATCATATTTTGTCGTACACGTACATAGCTAGTCTAGACTTTTGAAGAGTATCGGCTGGGCAGCTGGGTCAAAGACCATGCTTCTGAGTCTTGAGGAGAATCCGACTGCGGTGTAGATTTTCGCTTCAAATGAATAGTGTGCCCACATGCATCACACGGTTTCGCTCGAAGTATGGATGGAGGATAAGTGGGGGGAACTTCCTGCGGTGCACAGGAATAGCCTTTTTTGTGTTATGTGCATGTGTGTATGTATATATATATATAGACATACATACATACATACGCACACATGCGTGTGTGTGTGTGTGTGGGTCTACATGCATACGTACATACAGCCACATGTCCTTTTGTGTTTACGATCTTCGAGACCATCACTGTCGTCATCGTAATTTTCCTCCTCGGCGTTGTTTAGGTTTCAGCGAGCGGGTTTGCTCCGAAGTAGTTGTGCTAATGTGTTGAAGTCCGAGGTCTGAGGCCCAAAAAGCCCAGATCATAGCGAGCCAGCCAGTCGGCACACCCTAATGCTACGGTCCGATCCGAGTGCGAGTGCCAGAAATCGCCAAGACTTCTGCATGGTAGCATTGCATGTGTACTGCGAAGGAGGCTGACGGCATGGGTCGGCAAAGAAGTGGATTGCGACCTCATTCTGGGAGAGCTTTCGGGTTGAGGTTTGGGACACAGATTATGCGAATGGCTCGGTGCTACAGGACTTTGTGATGCATGTGTGGCCTGGGACATTTAAAATTTGCGCGCCAAGGAGCCCGCATTGCAGCTTCAGCGTTCTCTGTGGTCCAGATACCTTCAGAACTGCCTCCTGCGATCTTCTCTTTCGCGAAAGGAAGGAGGGGATGCTGCGGCTGTGAAAATGAACCCTCTAAACAGGGTTCATGCTTCTTTTAGCTGTTTTAACAAGCAGCCCCGGCAGAGCACAAACAATCCTAAACCAAAATGCGAGGATCTGATTTTGCATGCAGATGTTCATTGGTGCCTTGCTGCTTTCAGCGCATCCGTTCAGTAGACGTATCCGACGCAAGGATCTCAAAGCGATCGTCACGGCATCGGCACTATGCCCTAAGCAGTAGCTGCTGTCTTTTGCGTGCAAATACAGGCCCTTATCTAGAACTCCGACCCCATGCCATGTCTGTGCCGCGCGACGTTCCTCTCTTCCGGCTGAGCCTGGAAGCCTTTTGCGCAACGGCCTCGTAGAACCAACCATGACATAAGAGGAAGCAGAAGGAAAAGCTCATCCCAATCACCTGACCTCAGTGCCGTCTCAGCTTGCTGGTAGGTGCTAGGAAATCGTAGCTGACGCTCGTCGCAAGACGTCGACGGCAAACCGAATGCAAAAGACGAAGTGTGCTGCAGGAGTTTTGCCGTAACCAGTAGTTCTGAAAAGGGAGCAAGAGTAGCAGTAGTGCTTCGGGCGAGGGTGCGGAGGACATCCGGCACAGAGAGAGATGGAAAGCGAGAGCCTGTGACTGCTAAGAACAGCTACGTCGGTGGACGAGTCGAAGCAAAACTGGACAGCACTTGGGAAGTACAGATACTCGTACCCTCCTTACCTATAAGCATACCGCGAAAGGGTGAAGTCCGAAACCGTGCGTTCCTCTCACTCAAAGGTGCCGGCACCTCCCCGAACGGTTAACTGAGGCTATACCGTCGAAGGCCCCAGACAACTAATACCCCGAGGCTCATGAATGGAGAGAAGGGAGAATTAGAATGCACATGCAAAGCACAACAGTTGGCACAATCATATGTATATATGTATGTATGTATGTATTTATGTATGTATGTATGTATGTATGTAGGTATGTAGGTAAGCACTGATGTGTGTATATGCATGTATGTATGTCCAAGTAAGTATGTATGTATGTAGGTAGGCAGGTAGCCAGGCAGGCAGGTAGGCATGTAGGTGGGTAGGTAGGTAGGTAGGCAGGTAGGTAGGTGGGTATGTGTGTCTGCATAAGATAAATAGGCAGGGCCCGACCGCTAAACCACAAAACCATAACCCCAAGCCGCCCCTAAAGGTTAACCCTGAAACAAGAAAAATCCAAAGCCGCAAACCCCCAAAACTATTTAGAGCAACCCAAAAATACCTGAATAGCCCTTCCCAAAAAGCATACATACTTTGCCCAAAATCGTAGGATTTCTCTGGTCCAGAAAAAACCCACCATAAAGCCCACAAGCCAACGCTTCGACTCAGCTCCGAGCCCGCCGCCTGAACGCCGCGCCGAGGTCGGGCACTCAGGATTCTTTCAGGGCTTCGGGCTTATAGGGTTTAGGGTTGAGGTCTTCAGGGTTTGGGTTCATGTTGTTGGCAAGTACCTAGGTGTGTGTGTATATATATATACGAATGTATATGTATATGTATATGTATATGTATATGTATATGTATATGTATATGTATATGTATATGTGTGTGTATATATATGCATATACATACATACATACATACATACATACATACATACATACATACTTAGACATACATACATACATACATACATACATACATACATACTACATACATCATACATACATACATACATACATACATACATACATACATACATACATACATACATACATACATACATACATACATATATATATATAGGTAGAGGGTTGTTTTGTTTGTGGGTTTGTTTACGGTCGTATACGGTTGCATGGTTGCAGTCGTTTTGGCCAGGGTCTTGGGGCTTAACGGTGTGTAGGGCTTTAGGATTTTGAGTTGTAGAAGACCTACACTGTAAGCTTCCGGGCTAAGGCTTTCTGTTGTTACAGGGCTTCGGTTGATTGGGAGCCGGAGACCCTCGCAGACTTTTCGGCAGCCTGCGACGGAGAACCACAAGTACATACTTGCTATGACACGACAGATACATGGAGTCGGAACACAATAGACAATGTTAGACTGCTCATGAACAGTTGTTGATGCCCGACGCGCTTCCATGCCGGGAGAACTGCAGCTTGAGCATCAAACCCCAAAATATCGAAAATTCCCACCCAAACCCTCTTTGGGCTGGTCGATTGCAGCCGGCTAGGCCCGAGCCATGCCATTGGGTCCCAAAGGGCCGCAGAGGCCCAGAGCCCCGGGCCGATAAGGTCCAAAAGCTTTGCAGAAGTCCTCAAAAGCCCTTCAGGGTCCTTCGGAGGCCCTGTATATACACATATTATAGCATATTTATATAGATATGTGTATATATATATATACAGAGAAAACTCAAGAAATGTAGACCCTTCTTGTACACCCTTGTAGAAACCGTCATGGTTCTGTTCTGCGAGGAGCCGCAGTGCTTCTCCGAGGAGCCGGTCGCATATCCCGTCTTGGGTGGCATCGTGAGCTCCCCTCTGAGGCTGCATTTTGCAGAGGTTTAGAGTTTCGGGTTTAGGGGGTTTGGGGGTCTAGGGTTTATAGGGTTTAGGGCTTAGGGGGTTATGGGTTTGGGGTTTAGGGGGTTAGGTGCGTGTGGGTGGTGCCTCGACTTGCTTGTGTTCGTTTCTTCTGGGGGCTTCGCGTGGCTGAGACTGTGGCTGACACACTGCCGGGCTCCGGCTACTACAGGTGAAAGTTTCTAACCCTTGACTAGGGCTGTAGATTGGGGGGCAGGCTTCTAGAAAGGGGTCGATGTTGGGTCTTTGGTGTGCTCCGTGACGCTGGAGCTGCAAATCCACCATGAGGTTTGTTCTACAAGGGTGCTGAATTTATCATGTTTATGGTTAAATGCGTGCCCGTGTGCAGAAGCGGCTGCCAGTACCCGGCCCTCTCATGGCTCGAAGTAGCAATATGATTTGCACGGAACTAGAAGGGGACAAGCATGCAATCCATTCCACGCGCCTGCAGAACTCGCGCAACTCACAGTTGGCAACACTCTGGTTTTCCGGCCTATGGGCCCTGTACCTCGTGCAACAAGACCCGAGGTTGTATCTGCTAAGGCACTACTTGCCGGAGCATACATACGGATGGTGAGCGGCTTGCCTCCCAAGAATGCAGAAGCACCTGCCTTGGCATCCGGCAGCAGGCCACGTTTAAAAACCAAATGCAGTCAGTCCGTCGAATGCATATAGGTTTCCCAGATTTAGGGTTGCGTGCTGCTTGCATCAAGGCATCGACGTAAGCACGCATACCCTCTGAATTACTAAGTGATGTGTTCGCAGCCCGAGACTCACGACTTCTCCCTTCGGGGCCAAACCCTGATTCCTGACGACATGGAAAGCAGCCCTTCTAAACCTCGATCGCAGTCGTTGAAACCCAGGGTCCCAATCCCAAGCTTCTTCAGTTGCAGAGGCCTGTCTTCAATCCTCACTCTGCTTGAACCCTGTTCCGACCAATAGGCCAACCATAGGCGAAACCAGCCGAGGCCCCAATCCCTGGCGCAGCGACGCCTGGCGCGCACTGCACGGCATGTCCAGGTCGGCGGGGCCGGGCAAGTTTTATTTCGAACGAACCCTAACCTCCCAGGTACCTACTATATAGGGCCCTAGGGGCTCCAGTACCCTATATAGTAGGTACGTGGGAGGTTAGGGTAACATGTTCAGGCTTGTCGATGCTTGCTTGGTCCGGGTGGAGTATCGGGAGAATGGGGTTGACAAGAGTTGTTAGCACGGGTTTAACCATTTCAGGACTTGCAGGCAATCGCATGCAGGGCCTGTGCATGCGCACATTGAACTTGCTTTGGAAGCTTTAGGGTCAAAGGCCACAGGATCTCATACTAGCGATATTGGGGGCGCCCTCGAGGCTCCGCAGGGTCCCCGCTGCGGCTCCGACTTTCATGTGGAAGCCGCGAAATCTTCGCCCCATCACCCTCAACCCCTGTCCGGGTTTTTCTGATGTTCAAGTTTTGTGTTCAACATCGCACGGCCTGGTGCGTCTCAGTCACCACTTCTTGTTTTGCAGGGGTCCAAATGTCAGTGTTTCCCGAGTTCAATACTCGGTACGGAAGCAACCGTTTTCAGCAGATAGACCAACTGATATGTTTGTAAAAGGTGTTCTTTTTGAGCATGGTACCGCATCTATCTGTTTGGACATCTTCGCTGTGTGTTGTTCGTCCTCGTCTATCTTCATTTGCGGCATTGCGCCCTTTGCCTGTTCTTGTGTGATTCAGGCTTTTGCATGACTTCAGGCGACACAGTGACACGGCATGTGGGGCACAGAGAGGCGGAGTCGTGCAGCAGCCGTTTTGTGCACAAGTTACCGCTCCACGTGTCGGGACATGCCCTACGATGCTGGATGACCTGCACAAGACACCGAATCACTAGGAAAGCAGCCAGCATCCAGCAGAGAAGTCACGATATTTCGTGGCGCAACACGGCAGCATACACAAAACCCTAACTCTATACTCCCTGAATAGCATAAGCTGTCCATTTTCTGGCCTCTAGCCCTGTAGAGTCCACCCGTGGTCGTCTCCTTGGCCACTGGGTCCTGTGCCAGGATGTAGTACAGGCCACAGTCGCCGCTTACGGCGGCTCCAATGGCAGACCTTGATCCGATGGACCCTTGCGACACCTCCCACGTCTCCCAGGCGTGAAGGTCTTTAAAGAGCTACCTTTTGTACTCCTAGTCCTAGTATGTAAGTTTGTAAGTGTTTGTGGTGGTTGCTGCTGCTGTTGCACTTGCCCGTCGGGCCATGCTTGCTGTTGTTGCCTAAGCTTCCGCTACGGCTATGCTTCAAGACCTGTTGGATAGCTCTTGCCATCCTCCGGATCCGGAGGTAGGCCGTCCATGTGCCGGTTGCTTCTGCCGCTTGTTGCCGCTACTGCTGCTGGTGATAGGATGATGTTGTTGCTGCTGCTGCTGTTTGTCGTGATGGTGCTGGTGAAGCTCGACATCGCCGCCTGTTTTGCCGCGGCTGCCGCTTGTGCCAGCATTGTCGCTGCTGCCACTGTTGTAGGTGTATTCTTTCTGTGTGCAGAAACTTGGTTACATGATTTAATCTATGAAACCTTATGTGTAGAAACTGTCCACCCTGTTGGAAATCATCAGCCCTCATTAAGCTTGGGTGTATGTGTCCTTGGCTGTCTAGAGTCCAGAACCCTTTTCGCATGCTGGTTCTTTGGCTTCTTGCGCTGCCGCCGCGTCAGGCCCAGGCCCGGGATTCCAAGTTTGTTGATCCAGGGTGTGCTTCCGTTGCCGGCAGGCCTTCTTCAATGCCACGTACAACTTTCGGATGCTTACCTTGCCTTTAACGGGTGCCGATGTCAAGTGGGCCCGATGGGAGTGAGAGAGCCCGCATTTGGCGGTGAAAATGCTGATGAGCAGATGCTCAAAAAACCCTTGAGCCAAACATAGCATGGTTTCAGTGCCAAACGGCACGAACTCCTGAGTTCCATGGAGTCGAACACTAAGGAGCTAATTATGTGTGCCCAAGGAACATGGTGCGAGAGAGGCCTTCTCTGTTCAACCCTGATGCTCTTAAAGCCATCAACGGCGCCATCGAATGCTACTCGGACTTAAGGCTCAGGTCTCAGAGTCTCGTGCGATCCTATTCACTTCTCCACTTTTGGAGGTTCTTAATTTGTGGGCTTTGAACAGCCAGCCGCGATAGCTTGCTGCATAGCAAACATAGCCTTGAAATGTTTTCCTGTATATCTTCAGTTTGCAAGGGAGGGACCTTGTTGATGTTCGCGGAGCAACAAATGACAAGTGTGGTCTGTCCTGAAAGATAGTTGGCTTTACCATTCATCCCAGTTCTATTTATTTCTCACTGGCATCGTCATGTTTGCTGTACTGTTCATGTATCTTTCTGCTGTGCTTCTTGGATAGCCCGCTGTCTTTTTGTACATCCTTTGTGAAGACTGCAAACCCGTTGTTCCTCCAACCGAGTGTAGAAACACAAATGCTTGCTCATACTTACTCATCCACACAACCCCTCCCCACACACAACACACACACACACGCACAGCGAGAGAGAGAGAGAGAGAGCGAAGAAGAGAGAGTGGGACCTTACCCGAGCTGACTGTTGCATCCCCCGAAAGCGCCGAACACTGGGGGGCCCTTAGGGGCCGGGGGGCTTGAGACGCCCCTTAAACCCGAAGGAAGAAGAGAGAGAGTTGCGCTTCGCTGGGACCCGCCCTTCCCCCTCCCCCACTCCCTCCCTGGTATCCCCATTTGGTCATGTCCCGTGGAACGGCTGGGGTTTTGAGCTTCGGAGTTCAGCAGGGGCTCTCCACACGGGGGCCCAAGGCCCTGCGTGGCTGGTGTGGCTTGTGTGGTGGGTGTGTTTTGCGATATTCTGCGGTGAGGACCGGTTCGATCGCTTCGGCACGTGGCCCCATAATTTGCGATACAATCGGTTCGGTTTTGCGATACGGTACGCGATAAAGAATAGTGTTGAAACAGCCATGGTAAACTCAATGGGAAACCACGGCTGAGAACGAGCACACATGCAGAAATACAACGTTCTACGATGATAAGAATACAGTTTCGTGCACAAGATGCTTTGTGTCGTGACAAACAGACGATTCCGATCAGGTCGCACTCTCATGTGTCGCGACTGCGAACCAGTTGGCAAATTTACCGTCGATCCTGCTGTGCTGAAGCGAGGTCACCGTATACCTGCATCCTATGCAGTTGTCAAGAAAAGCCGCGTAGAAAGCACACAAGCAGGTTTCAAGAACTTTGAAGGGTTGTGCCAGCACTGCACAACGAACATAATGCCTTTCAATATAAGTATGTTGGGTAATGCAAAACCAGTGGGATCAGATGCAATACCCGCAATCAGTCAGTCAGTCAGGGGCAGAATACATCTGGGGCAGGTCAGGACGGCGCTGGTTCTGCCAGAATAGAGGAGCAGGACACACTTGCACCCCCCCCCCCCCAAGCCTTTGCTAGTGCAGGTTATTTTCGCATTTCTCTCTCCGCAAAGTCTTGTGTCCGGTAGCGGATGAAGACACCCTGTAAAAGCCGCCCTACCTAACACTTCGCAGCTCAGGTTTCCCGCCCAAGATTGTTCCGGGCCGAGCCAACTCTTACTTGCGGCCGGTGTCCATGCAGCGCTGTCCTTCGACGAGGGAGTGAGTAAGTTAGATATAGTTAGATCAGCCTCCATGTTGCACCATACCTCCTATCACTCTTATCATGTTTGAAAGCACATGTTCGTCCCAAGACGTATAAGTTGGTATAAGCTGGCTGTGAGGCCCATAAATACAACATGAAGGTTGAAGCCCCTCCACTCCTTCGACTACGGCCTGCCTCAGGTACAAACAAGACCGGCTCGCAGGACTTTGTGGCTGCATTCTATCCGCACGCGACCTGTCTGATCAACGGGAGCTCCTGCCAAGAACTCGACGACCCTTAGGTCCAAACACACGAGGTTGCAAAACCCTGACAAACTAGATATAAGCACACCGCGTTTTTTCCGATGAGTCGAAGCACCCACGATTTGTCCCGGTTGGTGAGGTTTGGCGGAAAGTCAGTGCCAAGCGGCCGACGCGGCTGAAGAAGTGTCGTGTCTGACTTGGCCCTCGGCTCCGAAAGAATGAACCTTAAACCGTTATAGTAGCCCATATAGAACCCTTTAAGGAGCCCCTTAAAGGAACCCTCTTCTAATTACTTACAGTTCCTTCAGATCCGACAAGTTACCTGCTGAGGAAAGTATCTTCCGAAGTGCTGCCAGGTCAGGTGGTTCAGATTGTTTTTTGTACTCTCCGGTCCAAAGCCCCCTGCCCCAAACACCTCATTTAGGGTTTATCTGGGTCTTCACCACATGTACATCAGGTCTCCAAAAAGGAGCCCGGGAATACATCAACAACCCGCAGTGCAGCCTACTCTACCCTGCAACAGGTCCTGTAGCGTCACCCTGACACCCCGGGCAGGTTCCCTTCAACATAGTCATTACTCTTGTCTTCAGTTGGGATCCCCGTTGCCGTATCTCGACTAAGCACCAAGAATCTCGCCTGGCCTGTCCGAGAGTGACCGCCGAATGCAGGAACCTTCCTAAACCCGAAAGCAACCCTAAACCCCACACACTCAGGTGCAGATACCTCGGTCAGATGATCACTGCCTTGTGCCTGGGCTTTTAGTTTATTTTCATGAGTTCGTGTTGTTTACATACAGTGCAAGTTCCAAGCTTTCCGGAAACCGTTGCTTAGACTGTGGCTATGCCTCGGATACCCCCAACCAGTAACCGTTGGATATAATATAAGGCCCTTCATAGTACCTTTATTATAGACTGTTGTTGTGTGGGGGTGGGGGGGGGCTATGCTCAAGCCGTGCCCGGCGGAGGGGTGATGAGGAACTGCATTGGCCACGACTTCGAGTCGTCCTTGGCTTACATCAAGACGCACCGGTGGAAGGAAACCTATCAAGGATGCTGGGATGGCAAGGCTGTTTTCGGTTTGGGTGCGTTGGGGCGGACCCATGAGTGGCTTTGCAACTCCTGTGTGATTTGCATGTTCAAGGCCACCACGACCTC